GGTAACGATACCACGTTAAGTGGCAGAAATTCGAAACCGAAAGGGCTCCAAGTGAAAGACATTTGCGGGTTAGGGAAATGTCATCGAGTAGCTAAAATCGGCCTGGCTTGCTCGCACTATTTGGAATGGTATCATACGAAATGTGCAGATGTGTCCCAACAGCAGGTGCGAGAGCGAAATAGCTCCCAAGATGCACTTTGGCTCTGTACTGCGTGCTCCACCATCCCACTGGTGGCTTATCCTAGCTCAGAAGTACGACCGGTTAACCACAGAAGCCGAGCAGAGGATAAACGATAAGATTCCTTTAATGGAAGCAAGTATGCACCACGGAAGTGTAGCGGCTTCTAAGCAACGGAATGCTGCACAATCCGCTTCCCCTGAACCACAATCAGCCAAATCCCCATTTCCATTGTCTTCCCCAACTTTGGTAGAACGCCGGGCGAAAACAGACAGTACCTACGAGAGTCAAATAGTACTCAGGGCAACAAAAATCAGGCACCACTCGAAACGTCTGGTTAAGCAAATTCCACTAGACTTGACATCTAGCATTAACAAGAATGAAGCAGCCGAACACCAACTCTCGATACCCGTAGCTCAAATGTCTCTTGTCAAGACAAAGACCCCCGGAACCTCAGTTACATATGCAGAGATTGCTGCAATGGTCCGCCGGGAGGCCGCCGTTACGGTCTCTTCTGCTGTAAACACCGTTAACGCTAATAGAGGTACAAACAGTAAACAACCAACACTTGTCGGCAGGTCAGGACAAACGATTACCCTACCTTGTAGATCAGTGAAAAAGGAGCCAACAATAGTGCCCGGACTGTTGTATGCTCAAATGTCCCTGAATCTACCACCACACATTGCGGAGTAAGTTATCGGACGACCAAGACCAATGGAACTCATTGTGCGCGCTGATGCGTGTCAGAGCCAAGCTCATAAACTTATTACGAATTACTCGTCATCCGAACTCGCCACACTATAAAGAACCCAGACTTATTCGAGTAACACTAGAATCCTCCACCGACGTAGGAAAGGTTTTGCTCTCCGCAAGCGCGCTTAAACACGCATCCTGTGGGAAACGCATCTATCCTGATGTCCCTTGGAGTGTGCGACAATCAAAAGCAACACCGAAGAGGGGCACAGCAAGCAAGACCGCCTAAACACAATCTTTACACAAGGCATGCCAGAACATCCTTCTAACGATATTCAAGAGACCGCGAAGCACAATTTAGAACAGCGGTGGTTCATTCGTGCAACACTTGCTTTGAATAATATTGTAGAGCTTTCGCTCACCAGGATACCTCTCTCACCAAATTATAGAGGATGCGGCCCTAGAATCCTAAAACTTCTGATCCAGTCAGAGCAACAAACAACGGATGTTTTGGATAATGGTGGAGAAATCGGAAAGGTCTTCCTTCTGAACTTCGGTTAAAGGTCGCAGAAGCTTTGCACAGCTCAAATATTAAAGCACCTGAAGCAGCAAGCGTACCGACGAAGGTACAGAAGCGTAACTTGACTGCTGCTTTAATTGTCTCTGACGTAGGTATAAACGAAAATTGGGACGCACCTTGGCCGAATCAAGTTGCAAACGAGGTATCACTATCCCATCAAAAAAGAGTAACTGCCGACCTCTCGTCGGTCGGCATTCTCCCACACTTGACCCCTTTAGTCCTCTGTGGGCTACTAGAGACCGAGAAACTGGCCTGCTTGTATACAAATGCTCAGGGTCTTTTTAATAAACTGGACGAACTGAAAGGTCGCCAAGCTTACGGGTCATATGATATCATTGGTATCTCCGAGACGTGGTTTCACACGGGAATGACGGACGCTGAAGTTTCGCTACCGGGCATGTCGCTGATCCGGAACGACAGGCTCACAAAAGGGGGAGGGGTAATACTGTATTACCGAAGCGACTTAGAGTGCGAAGCCGTGGAGGATTCAGACTCGCAGTTCCCCGACTCTCTTTGGTGCCGGTTGCAGTTAAAAGGCAGGGACGTTTGCCTTATTGTCTTGGTGTACTGCTCCCCTAACTTTACGCTCGAAAACGACTACCATCTAGCGACTGCATTAAGATATAGTTTACAACGAAATTAGGCTCACATACTTATCATGGATGATTTCAACGTACATTGTGTAGAAACTCCTGCTACGATCGGGCAACAATTCAAAGCCGATCACATCACCTTGCCCACTCGGTTCAGAACAGGTAACAGATCATCTGTGTTGGATCTTGTGCTTACCAACAAGGAGCGTATGATGGATATGTTGGTTGTAGACTGCCCGTTGGGTCGCAGTGATCACGCAGTCATCAGTTGCAACTTAGTCTGCTATGCAGAATATCGGAATGAGAACGACGAGAATAGGTGAACCATCACAAACTAAGATCGATCAGCCCAGCTCGTCAGCGCCACAACTTGGTCGTTTCTTGACAAAGAACCCCCGAACTCGCCTGGCTCGAGTTCGTCAACAAATTCAGTTAGCTGATTGCAGAGGCTTCAGAGATAAAAGTGTGCGATAAAGATAAATTAGTTTCTTTCCTTGGGAGCAGAACTCGAAAACAGATGGCAGCACGTAACGTAGCATGGCAAGTGTACAGAGAAGCTCTGGCACCAGAAACTTGGAACAACTACGTAGCCCAAGCTAAACACTGCACTCAACTGCCAAGAGAAGACAAAGCCACTTATCAGCACAACACCGCAAAAAACTTCAGTGTTAATCACAAACTACTATAAATGCACGTCAATAGCCTAACAAAGGTGAGGCAAGGATTTCCTCTACTCAGGACGGCTGATGACCCAACAATAACGGCTGTGAAAACAGCAAACGCGCTCCGGATGCAATATGCCCCTACGTTTCAAAGGGTCTTGTCACCAAGCGATCTTCGAACTTTGTCGTCTCCTTTCCAGGACCAACCCACATCACTTTTACCGCAGAGATTGTATTGCAAAAGCTGACGTCTCTAGGCAAACACAGCTCTCCGGGTGTCGACACCATTCGTGCAGAGGCACTGGAAGCAGCAACAAGCCAACTTGCAGGACCTTTAGCTCGGATTTTCTAGCACTGCTTAGACCAGAATCAAGTTCCGCTATGTGAAGGCTTGGAATAATAACCCCGATTTACAAAGGTAGAAGCATAACTGATCCCTCCAACTACCGCCCAGTATCCCTTCTTCCTATACTCTCCAAGGTCATGGAATCCATAGTTTCCGATGCACCGACGTGCTATCTGGAAAATTGAGCTGCACGGTTTCCGTCGACAGCGGTCATGTACAACGAATTTAATAATCGCACGCAGTAGTTGGACCGAAGCAGCTGACCCTGGAGAGGGCGTTGATGTGATCTACCTTGATTTTTCCAACGCTTTCGATCGTCTAGACCATCGGATACTACTATCCAAGCTCCAGCATTACGGGATCAGCGACCCTCTTTTAACCTGAATTGCCAAATTTCTACTTCAACGGCAATTAGTGGTCAGAATTCGGAGCTCTTTATCGGACCCCATACAAGTCGAGTGTGGTGTGCCGCAAGGCTCAGTTCTAGGTCCACGTTTGTCTTTGGTGTTTAGTAATGACCTTGCACATGGAATCGCTCCAAACTTCCTAATGTTTGCTGACAATATCAACCTCTGGCGCAGGATCCAGGCGAACACCGACCAGCATCTAATTCAGACTGACCTAGATACGGTGTATCAATGGTCAACCCAAAAGTACTGCATTTCAACGTGTGTAAATGCAAAGTGTTTTCCATCCGATATCAGAGCAGCTATTCATACCGGCTCGGAATGAATGTACTGCAACAATCAACTCTCGAACGTGACTTGGGTGTTCTGATTCAAGATGACTTGGGTTGCTTCAGACAATTCGAAAAAGTCTCGGAGACCGGGAACCAACACGTCGGGCTGTTGAGGCGGGTGTTTGGACAAATAAACAGCTCCATATTTCGATCAATGCTCAGTGCGTATGTTCGCCACCATGTCGAATACGCAATTCAAGCCTGGCATCCATGGCTGAAACACGACCTTAATGCACTGGAGCAGCCACAACGCCGGGCATCTAAGAACGTAATTGGAATGCGCAATCTTTCATACCAGGAGAAGCTGCAACGATTGAGGGTATTCAGTGGAAGCTACCGCAGACTACGAGGCGACCTGATTATGGCATACTTGATTCTGCGAGACCCACATCATGTGTGCCGCTTTTTACTGTAACTCAGCAGCAATAAAAACCTGAGGGGCCACACATTGAAACTCTCTGTACAGTGCAGCGGCCTGGAGTGCTGCAGAAATTTCTTTTCAATTTGTATGTATCACCAGTGGAATGCTCTCCCAGAATCGGTCGTCTCTGCACCGACACTAACAGTATTTAAAAGATGGTTGGACGATGCACTCATCAACTTACACTTTGTTACTTAACACTACGTCTCCATCCTACACCTGGAGTTTACTATGGAATTATTTGATGTTAACTACGGGTGCTGTGAATCTAAGCGGATTGCAGGACTACAGCGGAGCAAACGATAAGTCCTTCTTTTCATATTTAAACTACTAACTGTTGTACCACCATTATTATCATTACTGTTATGTCGATATCCCCATCAACTATCCAACAGGAATGGTAAAGCAACGCTTCTTAACCCGTATAAATTCACTGTTCCTCCATTGTTCATTGTTCATCATGATAACAATGGCGAGGAAAATTGTTGCGATATGAAGATGGAGCAGGAACTGACCTCCTACACAAAGTTGTATCACAAATAATTCGTAGATACTATGTATGGATGGCGCGCGTCAAAACCCCTGGTTGAAACAATGGCTATCGTTTCAGCTTGTCCGTACTACCTTGGGAGGTCGTAGAGATCTTTGTGTTGCTACCAATTAACTTTGGAACGCAAGTGGTCGTTGGAGGTAATAAACGAATGGCATTTGTTATTGTAGTAAAGGCTGACAGACGTTGCGTCGCTACACCAAAGGCATCAAGTCCAAGAAAACTCGGTTTGACTAACCTTTCTAACCCCCGTTGTGATTTGCATCCGCTGCTCTTGGGTAATTTTCGCTGAACTGATCCCAAGTCGAGCGTAGGCGATGAGGTAATGGAGAATGTCGTGCAGCACACAAGCCAGTCGAGCCATGCAGCGGAGTGCCCTTGTGCAAGACTGGTCATCCAGATGGCGAAATATAAAGAGAACCTCGATGAAGTGCGGAATGAACCACAAGTTGTACAACTTCGTACCATCCGTTGAGAGCACACGTCGGGGGCGTGTGCGTAAACTACGAGGATCCGTGATCTGCACATCAAGATCATCCTCAGGGCCTTTCTTTTCAAACGCGTAGCCAAGCACGAAGAAATCTTCGCTGGTTGTTACATGGTTAGCACATGAAACGAAGGGAACAGAAAAATTTTGATAAACACTATACAGACCCAAGTGACTGTTGTGGGTCTGACTTAAACCTAAAGCACCGTAACACATAGCTGTATTTAGCGTTTATCACGTCAAATGAAAGTGGAGTTATGGTAACCTTTTCGCAGACTTTTATGCAACCTTGACACCTGTGTTGGGTGTGGCGTGTCGGTCATTCAGTGTGACCGGCCGATTACTTAGACCATGTGAGAGAAACACGAACGGTTCGTCAATAGGTATATTTTCGTTAGGAACTAACATATCAATATTATTAACTGTGCAAGAGCGAAGTGTCTGGTGAGCCATGAACACCATGAAGAGCAAGGTGATGTCCCACCGGTCAAGATAACGCTGTTGGTAGACTCCTCTAAAGATCCGTTGAGAGTATGTAGTAAAATACCCTCAGGCCCTGGGAATCTCCACCCAAGCACAGAGCATCCACAACAGACATGGCGGTCCGATCAGTAGTGTGAATACATCGGAGGTACTCCACTTCGAGTACTCGGGGTATTCAGCAAATAATATCGACAATAGCGTGGAGACCTCATTTTGACTAACCAGATTTTGAGAGATCCCAGCCACACCTGTCGCCATTTACTACGGCTCGGTCACAACAGTAGTGTTAGATAGCAGAGCAGTACAATCGTTTGGAATGCCGTCGGAATTTCTTTTCCGTACACGTTCGCAAAAAGTTGAATGCCCCACCGATATCTGTTTGTGCTCCGACGCCGGTAGAGTTCAAAGCCCGAGTTGACCGTGCACTCATTTCGCTACACTGTATCACATGATTTCATTGCCCATGGCTAAACAAAAGTGCCCGTTAGAGATTTCTATGTCTGTCGACGCCCAGATTACGATTGACATTTTTCACCTCCATTGTGTCCACAAGACGGCAAAAGGTCTACTAACGTCCCATTTGTAGCCATTAGTTATGGAATTACGGTGGATCTACATTTTATACTATGTATACAGCAGTGTGTCCGCCTGTGTAAACCAATTTTGCAGGCAACTTTACGATGTTTTGAAGTTCCATCATGACCATCCTACGGAACCTGTTAGGCTGTAGCTTTTTACCCGTATAGAACCGTTGTTCCATTGTCAATTGAGCATGTCAATGTGACTTGAAATGAAAATTATACATGAATTAGATCACATACGACTGCACAGGAAACCAACATTCACATTCTGGTTTGTTCGACAACAAATTGGAAAAGCTTTAGTTTTGGCACTCACGTTATCGTCGGTACCTTTTCCAGAATGGTCAAGATAGAGCTGTAAGTGTAAATGATTTGAGCCCGCAGGGAAATCTGTTGTGACCTCTCACCGAAGTCGGCGCAAAATTGTGAGATAAATTCACTAAAAACAGTTCGGAGAGAATAGAAGGAAACTATATAACCAAGCCGACAAATGACAGCTAAAAAGTTAAAATCTCGTGGTACGGCAATCATTCAAGTACGCAGTAAACACTGAGTTCCTGTAAGCCAGGGATGTCCAGAGTCCGGCCCGCAGACAAAATACGGCCCGCGGCCTCGTGAAATAATAAATTCAGGCTTGTTTTTTCTTATATGTATACCTTTTCTCAGTCAATGAATATGGCCCGACATGTTTTACGTCACAAATGTGGCCCTCTTTGTAACAGTCTGCACACCCCACGTGACCTGAAGTTGTAACGTGTGGAAACATTTGAATGTACTTTGTTCTCCCTCCCAAAGTGATGTTCATGTGACCTCGGACTGACGTTCTATGACTTCTCCATGCTCCTATGATTGGAAGCTTAGGATTTTGGGTCACACGTGTTGCTCAAACTGCAGGGATCATGCGATACGGGAGGCGCCTAACTGAGCTGCTGACTTCAAACCGCGCTTCAAGACTAGGTAGGGACGAGCATCTGATGGCCGAGTGACGGTCGTGATGGTCAGTGTAATGAGAACTGTGCGGCACTTGGCTGAATAGTTTCGTTCAAGTTGATACTCGTTATCACGTTCAGATAAGAAGTTCAGCCGGTTCACAAACAACGAAAATGCAGGCGAAAGGAGGTCTGGGCTTACTCGCCTAAGCGGTGCGTGAGAGAACGGAGAGGTCAATCGATGATAGCAGTCTCAATTAGCAGGGCTGCGTTGCAATCAGTAGCGCAGGTAAGCGCTAGGGATCGGTCATGGAGTGCGATGTTGCGAGCGTGCAACACGTCCGTTTCACAACATACGATCCCAGTGATTGAGCTGATTCGCATTCACTTCAACATAACTTCAAGGGTCCATATTGGAATCCAATGCCACACATACCACACACACAATGAGTACTTCAAGTGAACAGTGTTGTTTCGTGTTTAAAAAAATTGGTGCAGGCACCACCATTGAACATAATTTCTGTGTGTCACTGGGTCTTCGCCAACAGACTACATTAAATCGGCTTAGAGGAGTCGAACACTTACTTAGGCACTCCAGTCGGAAGGGTTAACTAAATAACGTTACAGTAACACTAATAGGAAATGTTCTGTTTTAGTGAAGACGGTGACTATGAAAACTAAGGCGTCAAGGTCTAAATGGACTTCTACTTTGTTTCAGGAACCAATCAGTCATGCTCCATTTAATCGAACTTCGATACACGCTGTTCAAGTCAAATGAACTAACCAACCACGCCGGAATGCAACTCATCCTTACATTCAGTGTAGCCCTAATTTCGTTCACGCGTACATCGAAATTTATAATGTGAACACCTGGATTTTACTGATTCGTATTATACCCTTCATTCCTTTTCTTCATATGTAGTGCTATTAGTGAGATATACATACTGCGATTCTGGCTCGTTTCATCATTCTCACTACCAAAGCTTGAGGAGGCAGTCATGGAGGTTGGCAGGAGACTATTATGATACTGAATCAAATAATATTCCGTGTGATAATGCCATGTATGGTTAAGCACAGTTGTGATATTTTGATAAATAGTAATCGGCGTCGCGTTTAACGTGTGGGACTTCGCATACAGCGTTGAGCATGGTAAACCTATGTATATTGCAAGGACAGGCTAATCACGCCGTTGTTGCAGGTGCCTCACGAAAATTGATGAACAGAAGGTTAAAGCATGATCGGTGGGAAAAATGAAACATCTGTGCATAGTGAAGTGACTTCCACGGACTAGTCTTCATCGAAAGTGGTGAGGGACAAGGACTCACCGTTTAATTTTTTCACTCTCCACAAAACTTTTGGAAGATGCGATACCACCGCCTTGAGTTCGCTTGATGAAGGCGTTCTGCATCCGGTCGCGACTAGGAGACTGTGAGAAGTTACACCGGTATACAGCAGAGGGGAAATGGCTAGTTAGCTGATTAGTTACTGTCACAGATAGCAATAAATGGATATATGTCATGAAATAAACTTGCTTAAAAATAAACAGATCAACCTGCGGAATTAATTCAGTTATATTGACATCGTCCGTTGTAGGGGCAATTTGACGAACAGGACTGGCGGTCTACTCACTTTTTCCAACTGAATGGAGAAAAAAGCTTCAGGATGGTACTCAGCATTCTGTTGATGTTTAGAGCGTTCCAGCGCCAAAGGAGTTGGTCCGACCTGTGTTCCGCTCAGACCAGTGTAGCTCATCAAATTAGCGCCAGCGTTTGACGGCCGCAGTAAACCGTTCCTAACAGCGAATAGAGAACAGTGTCGGTGATGACAGATTTTCCAACAGGTGGCGGAATGTGGACAAGCATGCAGGGAACCATCCTAACAGACACAAGCACTGAGGTGAGCGCATATGGAAAAGACCGGTTTCGTACCAGGAAATAGGCTGACAGGTCGGCGTCGACAACCGTACAGGGTGATATGGGATCGGACGTCACCACAGAATCGCCGAGCCGAGTATAAGCATGACATGCCTCCGCTTACTCACACTGACGCAGAAGTCCCCATGCCGACTGACCTGTTGATCACGTGAACTCATGTCCGCTATGCCCTGGCTGTCCCGCACTACACTGTGCGGACTGTGCCATGTGGCAGTTCGCGTATGTCACAAGCTTCGATAAGTAGTCGAGACTGCGCGACCTAGGACACGCCTTTTACCGGGCCGTAAAATCACTCCATAGAAGGCCTGTCCTCTCGCTATTTCGGAAGTGGGTACGTCACTAATGAGGGTTAGAGTAACTCGTGTGGAAAACAGCTCAACAGAACCGCGTCGGTCGTTCTGACCAGGCAAGTCGCTACTGCTAAGTCGTCATAGTGTGGGACGGAAATAAATGCAGCCATACTATAAAAGCTTCGGGGCTGTCATCGATTACTGCAGCGTTGCAGGATGTCAGGGATTTATGGGGCGGCGGGTTTCGGTGAATGTTGGACTATGATCGGAAATACAGTCAAACCTGTCTAAGGCGACCACTCAAGGGACCGACAAAAAGTGGTCCAGTTGGACAGGTGGTCCCCATGGACAGGTTTGTGCATAGCGGGGGCACTACTCCTCATCGATTGCACAGGTGTACTCCCTTTCAAATGCGAACTAGATCTGTACACGGACAAATCATACGACCAGTTTTACTCTTCTGATTAAAGCAACACCAGTTGTATTGTATACTGTGGGATATATCTGTAACAAAAGTTAATAGTTACAATTTAAAGTAAACATTTTAAAAACTAACCTGCAAATCAGCGTGATCTAAAGTTTCGGAAAAATCATACACACACACGCACTTTTACATCGTCCTTATCATTTTCCACAAGCTGTAAAATCTAGTATAGGAGCCTTGCTTACCTGTTCCCTCACGTTCATGGTAAATCTGAGCATGTCAGTTAGTCCGCTATTTATTGCGTAGCAGCGCAAAATATCGGCAGCAGCCCGTTCATCAATGAATGTGTACCTTGTCAGAACGTCTGTAAAATCTTATTTGGGACTCTACGTTTTATTCACTTTCACATCCTCAGCTGGTAAAATTGAAGTGCAAGTGAGGTCTCAGCTTATTTCTGTTGTGTCACAAGTTTTGAGATTAGAATCAACGACGGAGCTGTTGGTCAGTTGACATCGAAACAATTCCTTTGAAAGATTTTCCAATTCAATAGGGGTTGCAGGAGGTACAATTTGTGCGCCTGCCTCAGGTCCACTTTGCATTACTGTTCCCGAATCTATATCTAGGACAAAGAAACCATTCTTTGCACACACACAAAAACAAGTAGAGATTTCTGAGTTCACCGCCTCCTATCTTACGGCAGCGATCCAGAACAAGACGTCCAATAGATTTAGTCGTTTCATGAGTTCAGTTCCGGACACACCTTTGTGTGATTCCATGATCTTAATAACATGTAAAGCTGTTTATTTTCTAAACTTTAATTTAAATGCCTTAATAACACAGTGGTCGAGGGGCTGAACTAACGTGCTGGTGTTAAGTGACAGTGACTGCAGTTTGTCATCATTTAGCTGCATGTTTGGATCGCAACTGGCATTGTCAACAAACAAAACAATGTCGCGCTGTTTTCTGCATCTTGCTATCAATCTCAAGTCAGTCTACAAAGATAATTGCAGTCATCCATACCTTTTATTATTCTTGTAAAGCGCTGGTGGCTTTGTATACTGATATCTTCAGAAATTCGCGGGTTGGCTGATTTTGCAATCACCAAAGCCGGTTCCCGCTCCCAAGACATGTCAGTGCAGTGCATAATTGCGATTCGCTCTTTCCTTTTTCCACCTGTCCGTTATTTTCCCCTGACAAAACAGATTTCGTCTGTCGCTCTGAATAATAACCCAGTTTGATCTAAATTGTGCTGAGTAACCAGAACGTGTTTCGGGTAATTTTGCTTTCCAGTCCGATGCACGGCATACATCTGAGTCACCGGTTTCACTAGGTTGCCTACCAAACACAAGGTTGTGCATATTGATGAAAGCCTGCAGCCAACCATTTGATGTTTTCAGGTTTAGTGATTTTATTCTTTTGTAATGTGCAAAGCTCGTCGCATTATTGATCCAGATAATGGGATTTTGCTTGCTGGTGTAGACTGGCACAATTTCCAACAAAGTGTGTTTATGTCTTCATTTACCGTTTCGCTGCTTTTCTATTTTTCCCTCTTGGTGCGCTGTTTTCAGTCGTTTAAAAACGGTTTTCCTCTTTAATGTTTGAAGGATTTGCGTCTTTCGTACTCCCAAATCTTCTGTCAATGTTCGAGAAGCTTTTCCTTCTTGAGTTGGTTCAATCACTGCTATTCTTTCTTTGCAATTTTGGAACTACCCAATTTCTCCTTTGTCAGACTCTTCAACCAGAAAAGGTTCCGCCCGAAATGGACATAGAATGCTGTCGTTTCTATTTAGCTCCTGCAATTTATACGGACCGATAATTCGCATGGCTTGACAACGGCACACAGTTCCGCCATATCATCCTGGAACTACAATCATGTGTTGTTATGTGGACAAAACACAGACGCCTTAGATACGCATCTACACGCGTGGACAGGTAATTTACCACTGAACTGCTTGTGTCTAATCTTGCTATCCAGACAATAGAAACAGAACGAGCGGCCAATTATGACACCACGAGACGAAATCTAAGCCATGTGTGAGATGCGGCTGCAGACCTACATGACATCTTAAGACGAAAACTCGGCCTGTGCTGCCATTGGTGATCACCTTTTACAGATGCTAGAGTGCCTAGGGACCACAAATCGTGGCTGTAGTTGCGTTAGACAGGTGGACGCGGCACATAAATTAAGATTAATGAGAAAATATAGGAAAAACGTTGAGGATATTTTTGTCTGGTCCTCATAGACAGGTGTTCGCCATAGCAGGTTTGACTATAGCAGAAATGGGGGAGATCAGGACTTTTTAACTTTGTGCCTAAGACAAGCATAGCGACAGCATACGGAAACTATGGATCTCCGTAAAGTCCGATAGAAGTCTGGTGTCGAGCGGACTAGGTTTGCACACAGCTGCGGTGGATCCAGTCACCGGGACTCACGTCGCAAAAATGACACGAAGAGACATCGTGAATATGCAGACAAACCTGAAGACATAAAATCGTCGAAAAACGGGTGAAAGGCAAATGGAGTAGGTAACCATCAAACAAAAGTTTACTAACGTGATATGTTTGTGTAGAAACGTTCAACAGAGTCACACAGGTTAATGGACCTGACTGTTAATTTGCTCGATTCGGAAACCCTCGTTCAAAAATTCGACACATGCAAGGGGACAGGTAGTGCTATTCACAGTGAAAGTATCTTTATGACGTTGAAAATTACGACCCAATGACTCAGCTAGGGTCATGGGGGCAGCCATCGCATAAGTCTTGAGACGCTAGTTGGAAAACTGCGTGCAATCGCAAATCGGTCATATAGATAGTGTAACACAAATCTAATACCCACAAATGGCGTCTTAACCGAAACGTCTGATGATAAGTTGAGCGGACATAATCTAACTAGAAATTATGGAGACTTTTGATTATACTGACCACTGCGTTCTGCTCAATGGGCTCTAGAATTGGGTTGTGTCGACGCGATCCTGAGACGGATAGATAACTTCGTAGTGGTAGTTCAGGGCTCTAAATCTAACCAATTTCAAGCCAGTCGAGGTGCATCTAAGATCCGGTACCACGCGCCGCGTCCGTTCTTGGCGTTCATTAACTACCTTATGAGAAAGCTCACCCCAGTTTTTTGTTCACTTATAATTATAATTTAATCATAATAAATCATAATTATAAATCATAATTATAATTATAAGTCGACGAACTGAGGAGTAATGAACGGATTAGGATAACAAGTTCTTGATTATGCCTTTAAACAGTCGATCTAGAGTGGAATGACATGCAAGGAGGTAAAGCGCAAATTTTTTAACGTACACCACCAGGAGATATGTGTGTGGTGAAGGTATCTTGCAGATCGATGGTTTGACTCTCGTCTGCACTAACTTCCCTTAGTCCAAACTTGGTCCAATAAAGGATAAGTTGCTATATGATCGTAACCAGTGAAATTCCATCCGTGATTCGATTGGTATGCGGGTTGAGCCCACTATGGCGAGACGCGTAGCGCGTCACCAGACGTCAGTGTACTATGGTGAACCTCGAATTCTTCAAATAATTGAACTTAGCAGAGGAGACGGAGGCTGTGCTATCCTCAGCAGTTCGCTTTCGAAATGCACCAGGCTGGTTACGCATATCACACTATCTTCCTAGAAAAGATCGCCCAAAGAAAGCGGATAACCAAGCCTGACATTCTAAAAGCGATAGCAAAACAACACATTTGTTAGTGGTGTTCGCGAGCTTCCGGATTCTCCTGATCACAAAGCGCAAACGCATGACCGACAGCAGTGGTGCTACAACTGTAAAGTACTCTCTCAGAACAACGTTATCATCAAATCGTTAACGAGAGCTTCTTCATGACTTAATTGCAAGGGATTCTGTTCAAAATTAATGAAAATAATGCAGTACTCCGAAGGAATGGCACGTTCTATTGGGTAAATGGTTGAAGCTTCGCGCCAGATTGCCGACCGAGAGCCGGCTAAAGACAGCATACGCACGACC